CTTGTTATAAAATAAGACGTTTTTTTGTGTTAAAGGGTTTACTTGAATAGATAAAATAAAGTTTTACGTAGGGGTCAGATGAAACCACTCATCATAAGCATAAAATTAAATTAACCAACACCAGAGACAATTATATCATTAGAAGGAGATAGGAAACGGAGGTCAGATTCCATAACCATGGTCAAGGAGGGTGAAACTGGAAAGCGGAAGGTCTAGCCCAGCAAGCGAGAAGAGATTCACGGTTTGGATATTGAATTACCAAGCTCTGAGACTTGTTCTGCACAACCGAGAGAATCTTGAAGAATATGGACTTAGGTGGAAGTGTTAGTCCAGAATGTTAGCGTCGGTTCCTCTCAAACCAAAGTTCAAACACACAAGCATGCCACCCTTGTAACAAAGCCAGATACGACGTCTTGTCTTGAGCTGCCGTAGGTAGCCACATTAGGATATCATTCCAGATTAAAGGGGGAGAAACAGAGAGAACCTTTTACACCATTGCGATCCAAACCTGCTTTGAGTAGGTACACTGAAAGAATAGATGGTTCCTTGATTCATTATCAATCCCACATAAAAAGACATGTCTGTTCGGCATCGCAACCCCACGTATGCAAGCGGTCCAAAGTTGGGTTGCTGTTGAGAACAAAGAGCCAAACAGACATGTCTGCCATACCTGTGAATCCTCGCCTTGTGCCATACCTGCGAATACCAAGATATCGGCTGACGGGACTCACGAATTAGAGACCAAAGCTTCCTCGAAGAGAAGGACTTTTGCACCGCATCATCAATTAACCAAACAGGCTTATCACTCTGTCAAATCTTATAGAATAGGATATATTGTATTGAGTTTTCTCTCATTGATATCATAAGATACATATATAGTGGTAACATTCACATAATGATAACACCAACATAATGTAAACTTTTCTAAACACAATGGAAATATGCTTGTATAAGAAGTAATGTAGAGATCTACAATATTCTTCGGTTCGGACTTCACTTTATAGACGGGTTTTGATGCCAATAACACTTGGTCCGCAAAACTCCCGTGAAAAACAAAACCCGAAGAATCTTGAGAACCGGAAGAAGTAACAGTTAAGTACAACGTTGCATGCGAACGGAAACCATCATTCATCAAGACGACAATTGTATGTTTTGATGTAAATGGGTACTTAACAATAAAGTTACGTAGAAAAAAAATCACAAAACAATTTTATTATTAATTCAACGAAATAGCATACAATATGATCTTATTATTGACGTTAGGAGGGAAGCGGTCACTAGCTTCTTCCTACGAGTTTATTTGAAAGGAAACAAACTGACACACGTAACCTTAAATCAAGGTTACCACCTCAAATACATTCTTCATTTTTTTTGTTCAATACAAGTTTATTTGTATTAATAACCCAAGCAGTGGCAATGGTCTTCGTTGTCATGAATCTCGCACTCTCCTCCACATGACTTGGGGAACAGCACCTTGCAGCTGGCANNACATTCGTTTNNCNTACATGGGTTNGACACTGTGCCTTCAGGCCCTTCACCTATAAACTTGTCACATTGCTGCGCCTCGCTCTTCGGGATTTCTATATATATATTAAACAAATCTGTTCAAATTTTTATTTTGAAAAAGCCATATATATATATATATTCACTCGAGATGAATGTAGTCGTAACATATATATGTTTCTTGCTATATATATATGTAAATTTAGGCATGCATACTGGAAAAGAGTAGAAACGTAATTACCGGCTGAAATCAACAAGACAACGAGCAGAAGAGTGGTGAAGCAGATGGAAATGAGGGTCTTTGCCATTTTTATAGCTTTTATTTCTACTTTTCTACGCTTAATTAATTGCTTCTTGCTTTTTAAGAAACTTGGGTGATACTAATCAATGGGAGTTGTACTCTATTTATAATAAAATTTTGTTGAATTGTATAGTAGCTAGATTTCGTACGCCACCGTTTCATTCACACATAGATAAGCCTTTGACGCTTATTTGTTACATATTTTTTTTTTTTGAAAATACATTTGTTAAATATTCCCTTCCAAACATTGATTATTTACTTAAAACAAAATAGAAATCAAAAATATATCACTGTATTAGGCGGTGATATCCTCTATATATTAGTTGAGGAGACACTAAGTAAAAAATCATATGTGTCACTCAATGAAGATTTTAATGAACAAATTAGTTAAACTAACCAATCATAATATTCCAATTAATTTTATATGTCATGGGTGAAAATCTCTACATTTTTTTTTAACATGCATGGACTCATAAAAATATGTTACAAATTTAAATTTATCTAAAACGTAACATCTTAATATTTTAAAATGTAAAATAACATATTGTTTTAACCATAAATCATTTACCAATATCAATTAGTTTATAAAAA